CCAGGCTAGACTCGCCACTCGCACCAGCCAGGCATTTAGGCATTTAGGCTGCCCTCGCATTCGAGCAACAGGATTTCCTCTTGACGATGCGAGAAGAATCTTCCCTGAGCAACGCAGCCTGCAGGCTCGTCTCCATGGACGTTTGGTGGATGCGGACTCCTTGCACGTTTACGAACGGCCCAATTAGTCCAGTCATTCGGTGCTCAGAAAGGGGGTTACCTGGAAAGTTTTCCGGGAATTTTGAAAATTGGTATTTCTGTAGATTTCAACATGCTCTTTTCGAATTTTCACTTTGCCACCTCGTATCTTTGCAGCTTGTGCCGCTATATTGGAATAATGGATCCGCTAAGGAACGCTCTCGATTTGGTTTAAAGGGACGAATCGAAGGAAAGGAAGAGTTTACGGCTCGACCAATCAGATGATCAGAATGATTAGTTCTCGAATTTGGCATTTGGCTATTGTCAAAGCAGTCTGTCTCGGGGTGCCGACCGAGGTGTCACGAGCTGTCTCGCGCTCCCGTGCTGTCTGTTGATAGTTTTTCTAGCCGTGTTTCGATACACGTTTCGATATACAAAGTTGTCGTTCTTATATTTCTCGCGTTGCTCTCGCGATATTCAGGAAATTCAATGGATTTCCTGTGAGTGTTCCGGAGGCGTAGTGTTGTGCCCTAGTGCAGTACCCACCCGAGTGTCTCCTGGATGCGGTTCTCGGCCTTTACGGATTAGCTGCACCAGCTCCGGTGAGTCTTCCAATTTATTAATTGGTGAAGGGATTTCGATTTGATACTTCCGATTGGCTCTGTTACGTTCTCGATCCGTTGCTTCCATTGCTTCAATCCCCAAAATTCTATAGTATCCGTTAAGTTATTGTATCACCCAGGTTCCATCCGGGCTCTCGTTTTGGTGGAGTTGGGCCTGTTCCACCCCAACTCCCAGTTCGTGCCGGCTCGTCAGTTCCCAGTGAAAAAAGAATTGGCTGGCGCCCAACTGGCTTGCGAATGCGTGAGCGAAAGGTAGACGGCCGAAGGTAACGCAGGTTGGTTCTCGAAGATAATTTGTTCTCGGATTTTTCACTACCGGTGTCGAGCTAAGGGAAAATACGTTACAATATATGAATGAGTTTTTTCTCCAATACGCATGTTGGAGTATACTTTGCGGCTCTCGTGCGCTTAACCTATTCATTTAACAAAAAAAATTATTGGTATATAAATTATAGAAAATTTTCTCTACTTCAATTCATCACACAACTATTTTCATCGTCAAATGAGTCGAAAAGGAGATATCGTCAAAAACCTTTTTTTGGACGCTATTTTTTCATTATGGCGATGCGAGCAGCAAAGATACGAGGTGGCAAAGTGAAAATTCGAAAAGAGCACGTCGAAATCTATAAACATAGGAATTTTCAAAACTCCCGGTAAACTTTCCAGGTAAAACTGCCGAATGACTGGACTAAATGGCCGGCAAACTCAACGTGCGTGGAAGAGAGCGAACACCCACACCCACACGTGTCGCGCTGCATGACAAAGAGCTCGACGCATTGGCAAAATTGGCAAAATTCTATAATTCTCGCAGTTTGTGCGGCGCATTAGAACTTTATATCCCGAAACAATTGACAGAATTTTGTTTCACGCTATGAAACTCTGGCCTCCGCAGCTTTTCCCGATCCAGCTCCCACTTCGTTGTTCGCCGACTCTATTTTATTTCGATGCTCGCATTGTGCAGTTGTGCTCCATTGCGTCAAAGCTGCCTGCCACTCGCAATATACTATTATGCGATACGTGCGCAAATAAAGCCTCTTCGAGAACTGGTTTTTTACGTAAGAAAGCTGATAACGCCTCTCGGAAAAGCCAATTGGACCTGGTCGTTATCTCGCAGCTTCTCGAAAACTAATAATGTCCTTGTATTGGCTGAGCCGCTTGGATGCACTTGCAAATGCTTCCCCTGCCGTCGCCTACGATGAAAGAACGGAAATTCCAGAGTCGATATTCGACAGACTTCAGAGAAGCTGATAAGCGCGAAGCAGCTGAGGGAGGAGGATGTCCGTTCTACGGCGGCACAATTAACTTCCGGCGTATCGATAGAGTCCTCAGCGACCGAACGAGCCTTTCTAGCTCATTGTGGTTTTCATCGAGCGTCGTGACGCGAGGACGCAGCGCAACGGTCCCGCGGCAACCGGTGGTCTTGGAAAAAAAAATAGGAAATTTGGAGAATTCTGAGCCAAGATATCACATAAGAGTGTGGGCAGCTACGGATGGAGTCGAGCGGCTCCGTGCACGTACATAATGGATTTAACGACGGGCGACATTACGCAAAGTTACATAATTTGCACAGGCGAGTTGGCAAGCTCAATATAACCTCAAGGATTCCAAAGTAAGTTTAAACGGTTCTCCTCGCAGTTCTCAGGCCGAACGAACAGTTAGACCCGAACTTTCCAAGTACGTCCAATTCTCAATGCACGCTAGGTATGCACCAAGTGGTTCAGATTCCCGGATAGCGCCTTCCTCGATAGATCGTCACGTCACCGGCAACCTTTATGGCGGCGTCTGTATATCGATACACTTTCGCTTCCCCCATTTAAATCACACGAGCCATTATTGGCGGACTTGCAAGTCGAAAATGCTAGACTGCAAAAATTAATCTCCTAAATTTGGCCTTCAATATTTGCCACCCCCCCCCCCCC